CGGGAAGGTGGGGAGGGATGGGCAGGTGTCCGTCTCTATCGCGCACAGCACCTCCCCTGCTGCCAACGCGTCACCTACTGCCTTGCGCCACCGCACTATGTTCCCCTGCCGTGGCGTGTATGACACAGGAGAGGGGGGGTGGTGATGAGGTGGATGGGTGATGCACATGGTATCACCACAAACTAAGACGACATAGGAATGGGATGGGCTGGAAGGGGCTGGGATGGGATGAGATGGCATGGGATGGCATGAGATGGGATGGGAGGGGTTGAGAAGAAATGGCATGGGATGGGTTGAGATGAGATGGCATGGGATGGCATGAGATGGGATGGGAGGGGTTGAGATGAAATGGCATGGGATGGGTTGAGATGAGATGGCATGGGATGGCATGAGATGGGATGGGAGGGGTTGAGATGAAATGGCATGGGATGGGTTGAGATGAGATGGCATGGGATGGCATGAGATGGGATGGGAGGGGTTGAGATGAAATGGCATGGGATGGGTTGAGATGAGATGGCATGGGATGGCATGAGATGGGATGGGAGGGGTTGAGATGAAATGGCATGGGATGGGTTGAGATGAGATGGCATGGGATGGTATGGGAAGGTATGGGGCGGGCTGGGATGTGAGTCGGTCACAATGGGCATGCACATGAGCACATGAGCAGTAAGTGGTAAGTACCTGGGTCATGGTGGGCGAGAGCGATGGCATGGCGAGCGAGTGGAAGGGCGGCAGATCTGCACAGCAACCAGGCAAACACGCATGGTGAGGAGAGAGGAGATGAAGGAAGAGGTGGTGAGAACAAGATGTCGGTGCTGACGCAGGAGACAGGGGCAGCAAGGAGCAGGAGCAGCCAGAGTGTGCCAATTCCTCGCTGTCTCTAATCTCCGCTGTCCAATTCCTCGCCCCACCGCTGCCTCTCTCACACCACCACTCTCCCTTCACCATCTCTATCCCCCCCACCTGTCTTTCCCAGTGCACCTGACGGGGGGGTGGATGAGCCAGCGTCGGAGGGAGCAGCAGGGGCAGCAGGGGGAGCGGAGGCACCGGCGTCAGCAGCAGTGAAGGTCGCGAACTTGGCGAGTTCGGTGTTGTCCTCCACCATCACTGCTATCAGCTGCGCGCGGTAGAAGGAGGGGAACGATGGGGGGGATGATGGGAGGGGAATGGGGAAACAAGGACAGATGGAGCAGCAGGGGCAGCGGGGGCAGCAGGGGGAGCGGAGGCACCGGCGTCAGCAGCAGTGAAGGACGCGAATTTGGATAGCTCGGTGTTGTCCTCCACCATCACTGCTATCAGCTGCGCGCGGTAGAAGGAGGGGAACGATGGGGGGGATGATGGGAGGGGAATGGGGAAACAAGGACAGATGGAGCAGCAGGGGCAGCGGGGGCAGCAGGGGGAGCGGAGGCACCGGCGTCAGCAGCAGTGAAGGACGCGAATTTGGATAGCTCGGTGTTGTCCTCCACCATCACTGCTATCAGCTGCGCGCGGTAGAAGGAGGGGAACGATGGGGGGGATGATGGGAGGGGAATGGGGAAACAAGGACAGATGGAGCAGCAGGGGCAGCGGGGGCAGCAGGGGGAGCGGAGGCACCGGCGTCAGCAGCAGTGAAGGTCGCGAACTTGGCGAGTTCGGTGTTGTCCTCCACCATCACTGCTATCAGCTGCACGCGGTAGAAGGAGGGGAACGATGGGGGGGATGATGGGAGGGGAATGGGGAAACAAGGACAGATGGAGCAGCAGGGGCAGCGGGGGCAGCAGGGGGAGCGGAGGCACCGGCGTCAGCAGCAGTGAAGGACGCGAATTTGGATAGCTCGGTGTTGTCCTCCACCATCACTGCTATCAGCTGCGGGTGGTGTAGGGGAATAAATATGGGAGGGATGATGGGAGGGGAATGGGGAAACAAGGTCAGATGAGGGTGGGAAGAGGGGGGAGAGTCAGAGTTTGGGCTAACAAACAACTGAGGACGATGAGAGGGGAAGTTGGGGGGGCACACGAAGCACAAGTTGGGGTGAGACCGAGACCCATGCCTGCAATGCAATGCACAAGTATTCAGTTGATTGATATGTGTCAACTGATCAGTCCTCTGGGTTGACCTGTCAGCAGAAATGTTCTTGAAGCCCTGGGGTGATTTGAGTCTGCTAGCAAAACTCTTCCTGGTTGACCCGCGTTGACTAGCGTTGACTGCGACTCACAGTGCCGACGGGGATGTCCTTGGAGCCCTCAGGCATGAGGATCTTGGCGAGGAAGCCGTCCTCCATGCTCTCCATTGATAGCGTCGCCTTGTCCTGCGATGCACGCATGCACATGCCGCACATACCACATACCACATGCCACATACCACATACCACATAGGGCACACGGCATACGGCATACCGCATACCACATACCACATACCACATAGGGCACACGGCATACGGCATACCGCATACCACATACCACATAGCAACAAAAGGGGCGTTCTGGTAAGTTAACATGCAAGTCGAATGCATGATTACACATGCTGTCTGTCCCGCGTCTGCTGCCAACATGTCCCTGCAACACGCGGGATCATTCCACGCGCAACACACTCACCGTCTCGATCTCGCACAGCACGTCGCCCGCGTTCACCTGCTCGCCCTCCGCCTTGCACCACTTGGCGATGTTGCCCTGGGGGAAGGGCGGGCGGGCGGGCGGGAGAGTGTGGGGAGGAAGGGGAGTGTGTGTGAGGTGTGGGTGGCAGGTGGACAGAAACGCCCTACCCCCCCCACCCGTGCAATGCTGTGCTGCAATGCTGATCAGCCACCTCACGCGCCACCTTTACCAACTAACCCGCCCCAGCACCAACCCGCCACCAGCCCCGCTTCAACTTGCCTCAGCACGCACCCGCCCCAGCAGTCACCTGCCCGGTGACACCTGCCCCACCCGCCCCAGTACTGACCCGCCCCGGTACCAACCTGCGTCATGGTGGGGGAGAGCGATGGCATGGCGACGGGCTGGTGGGGCGGGACTGCATGTCGGCATGGAGGGGGGGAGGGAAGGAGATGTGTCAAGGGGGGAGGAATGGACAGGCATTGTCATTTGCAATCAGATCGCATTCGAGAAAACGAATCTGCTGGCTCATATTTGTCACGATCGACATGCAGGTGACGTCAAGACACGTACAGGCGGAGGCGGAGGCGGCGGCGGCGGAAAATTTGCGCGCAGACTTCCAGCGGAAGGACATCCCCGGCAGGGACGCAGACGCATGGTGCGCGGATGGCGCGCGGGAATCGAGCAGAGCGGAAGGCTTGGCGGCGGAGGCGGAAGAGGCGGGGCGGGTGGAGGCGGGGATGAGCGCGGAACTGCGGAAGGGGAAATGGGGACACGACACGAGACGAGTCGACACGACATGAGTGACAATGCACCGCGAATGCGCGCAGTGTATACAGCGCAGAGCTCAGGTGTGCTGCACCAAGGTGTGCAACCCTAAGTGTGCAGCAGCACACGCAGCGAGTTCCTTTCCCAATCAACACACAGCAAGTGCGAATGCGGAAGATCTCCGGCGTGCGTATGGGCGTCCGGTAACGCTCTTTGCCCCGCTTGAAGCAGGAAGGCGAGGCAATGATAGGCACTTGGTATAAATTAGCGAGATGGGGATCAAACGGTCTTTCACGGCTCTTGCTTCCACGGATCGGTGATGCCCTACGCCGAGTTAGGGTTGAGATTAATCAGGAACGATGGAAGGAGTGCTGGTTAGTCAGTGAGACGGGAATGGGAAGCTACTGATGCTATCCCGCACCTGATGCTGCTCGTGGTGTAGGCTGCGGATCGGATCTCCTTAGCTTGCGGATTCACCGCGCATCCGCTAGCCGACTGAACATGCAGCGCCGCCACTACCGCTGCGGGCGCAGCTTGCGGAACCACCGGCGCGGTGGACGCGGCGAGCAGGCGGCGGATGGCAGGCACGGGAACCGCGTGCTGCAGATGACGACGCGACGCCATGGCTGCTACGGTATGATTCGATATAAGCTGTCTGGATGGCGGCACGGTAGGCTGCTTCGCTTCAGCCAACGATTGGACGATCGACCGGACTCTAACGAATCCGACGGAGCAACAACGAGGCACGGCAGATCCGGCCACGTGCGAGCGGAGCACAGGAGCCAACCAGCACGTCCCACTTGTCAGGCAGAGCGAGAGAGGAGGCAGACCAGGCTGTCTCTCTGTCTGCAGTGTGTGCCGCTGTGCCAATCTCGAGGTGTTGCTGCTGCCGCAAGTGCTCCAAACGAAATCCGTGTCCAGCAGCAAACTGAGGACGGGGTGGGGGGGAATGGAGAGGGGGAAGGGAAGAAGAGGGCGGGGGAGGTCGCAGACGGGAAAGAAATGGATCTGGGGGGTGTGGAGAGGGGAGCGGAGGAGGAGGCGGAGGCGGGGTGAGATATTCCTGGTTGCGCGGTGATCCCAAGGGTGCAGCGAATGCGCGTGACACGCACCAGCATGAATGTGAGGAGAGATCTGCGGGCGATGCTGATTCGGGATTGGGTGAAATGTCCTTTTGCTTGCCGCTGTGTACGCGAGGACCAATCTGGGAGCAGCGATGGTTGTTCCAATCAACACAACGGATCGAACATGCAGAAATTTCATAACCAGATCAAAACTGCTTCGGAGGATGTTACTACTACTACATTTCACAAAATGAAGCCTCTCATACGCGTACAAATTCAGCATATTCCCCCTCTTCTGCATATCATCCAAGGAGCACACATGAGCAAAAGCAGAGACACATGCAGTGCGAAAGCAGAAACGGCAAGTGCAAGCAAATCCTGATCGGGCAACGACCGTTGCGCTAGTGTGAGACCGAAAGCGTCACAGATTCAGTCGTGGGCATGAGGGCGCTGCCCTGATCTCGCTGCTCGTCAGGCATTGCGGCAGGCAGTCCATCGCCGCTCCGCATCTCGTGCGACTTCGCGCGATAATCGTTTATACAGCTCGCGAGTTCAGTTTCAGGGGGCGCACGTGACGGCGAGCTCGAAGGTTGAGACGATGGCGGCAGCTCTGCAGGCCTCCCGTGCCGTTCAGCGAGTCTCACCCCGCTCGCCCGCACCCGCGCGGCGGTTGCTACTACTGCTGCTGCTCGTGGCGCTACTGCTGCTCGTGCGCGGGAGCAGAGGCGGCGCGGGGCGGGGGGAGGAGCGGCGGGAAGGGAAAGCGGAAGAGAAGGAGGATGATGAGGAGGAGGAGGCGCGGCGCGCAACGATAGGGCTGTTGGCGCACGGGTGGAACGACGTGCGCGAGTGGCGCGCGGGGCTGGTGAAGGGCGTGGAGTACGTCAAAATCGACTTCTCCTGGATGCCGCCCGCAAGATGCAAACTGCAGGTGCGGCCCCCCTCTCAGATGCGCCCTGCAGGTGGGACGAGGGGCGAGGGGCGAGGGCGAAAGGGGGATTCTTCCCCCGTTCTGCTCCCCGCCCTCTCCTTACCGTCCCCCCCTACTTCCATCCTTGCGCCTCCCACCTTCCGCACTCTCATCGCATCATCCCTCCTCTCTCCTTTCTCCCCCTACCGCACCCCTTTCTCCCCCTACCGCACCCCTTTCTCCCCCTACCGCACCCCTTTCTCCCCCTACCTCACCCCTTCTCCATCCCTCCATCCCTTCTTCTCTCCGCCCTCCTCTGCCTTCGCTTGCATCACAGGTGGGGCAGCGATGGCAGTACAATCCACATGGCTGCTTCGGATTGGTGCACTCGCTGACGTGGCTCAGCCGCCAGCTCAACACCAGCGATGACGTCATCGCGTTCCTCCGTGACCCAGCCAATCGCATGCTTCTGACGTATCCGCGCCCACGGCTCTACATCCAGGTGGGCGTGGGTGTGCGGAGTGGGGCGTGGGGCGTGGGGCGTGGGGCATGGGGGGCGGGGGGTTGGGGGGCGGGGAACGGGAATCAGTACAGTGACAAGTGAGTGACTACAGCAGCAGCACTTCGCAAACTCCACTTCTCGCTTTCTTTGTTTTCCTTTCATGCCCCTGCTTGTCACCACTCATTCGCCTTCCTCCTGTCTCTGTCTCTCCTATTTTCCTCCCCTTCCTCTAACCCGCCAAGCCAGCTGTGCCCCAAGAACCGTCCACTCCTCTGCACCACCAATCACACCCGTGCTGCCATGTCTGCTCATGTCGCCAGTCATGACATGCCACGTGGCGACGTTGCTGAAGAGAAGGCCATCAGAATGCACCACGTGGTGCCACGTGGCAGCAGCTCAAGGGTTCTGAGAGTGATGGCACGTGGTACAGACTTATCCAGTAAAAACAGCACCACCAATGCAGGCGCATCTGGTGCATCTGGGACAGGTGTATCTGAGACAGGTGCATCCGAGACAGGTGCATCGGGAGCATCTGCAGCAAGCGGGGCAAGGCGGGGGGGGGACGGCATACGGTGGGGGGACGAGGCAGTGCGGCAGTGGATGAGGCTGTTTGACGACTTCTTCCTGCGCGCCAATGCCGCCCTGCACGAGCTCCACCTCAGCGTGGAGTTCTTCCTCAACGACGTGAGACCCTCACACACTGACACCTGCTGTGCATTTCTGTTTTTAGGTGCGTGCATCAATAAGCGGCTTATCTCCTGCGCGCCAATGCCGCCCTGCACGCCCTGCACGCCCTGCACCTCAACGCCGAGTTCTTCCTCAACGACGTGAGACCCGCACACAGAGACACCTTCCCTGGATTGTTGTCTTGAGGTGCATCAATAAGCGTCTCATTTCGTGCGCGCCTCTGCCGCCCTGCAAGATCTGCACCTCAACATCGAGTTCTTCCTCAACGACGTGAGTGAGACCCCCACATTCCGTGGATTGTTGTCCTGATGTCCCGCTGCCCCCCCCCCCCCTGTCTCCACGTTCCATTCTACCCTTCATCGCTCCCACCTCACCTCTCACCTCTCTGCCCCCAACTCATTAAGCCTCCACGATCCTTCCCTTGGCCCCCCGTCCCCGGTTCCCTCCCAACTTCGTGAATGTGCGCAGATGGGTGGAAAGTGTGTGGCGCAGCGGTGGCGGCCGTGGGTGATAGCATGGGACGACAACGACCTCACCAGCCGCCTCTCCAGTCCTCTTACACCCACCCTCCCCTCCCACTCTCCCCCTCCTCCCCTTCCCCCCCCCCCCTCTTCACCCCACACACCCCCTGAATGCGGGCAGATGGGCGGGAAGTGTGTGGCGCAGCGGTGGCGGCCGTGGGTGATAGCATGGGACGACAACGACCTTACCAGCCGCCCCGCCACCACCAACGACCCCCGTGATGCCTCCGACCGCTTCCAGGCATGCAGCATGCGGCATGCTGGTGTGCGTGTGTGTGGCGGCATGTGGCGCACAGGGCATGTGGAATGTGGCATTGGTGATGTGTCATGTATCGTATGTCATGTGCATGGACGTGTGATGTGGCATGTGGAGCAATGACGGAATGGATCCTCTTTAATTGAACCAAGCCACCCCGTAGGTTTCCACATTCACCTGGTGGGCATGTGTCAGGTGCTCAACCATGACGCCACATTCACCTGGTGGGCGGCAGCAGCGCAGCAGCAGTTCATGAAGTTCAAGGACTCGCCCTATGCCCTCGTGCTCTATGAGCCTCAGGTGAGCCTCAGGTGACTCTCAGGTGAGTCTCAGGTGACTCTCAGGTGAGTCTCAGGTGAGTCTCAGGTGAGTCTCAGGTGAGCCTCAGGTGAGCCTCAGGTGAGCCTCAGGTGAGCCTCAGGTGAGTCTCAGGTGAGTCTCAGGTGATACTTACGTGAGTTACAGGTGAGATTCAGAAATCCATTTCTGCGCGTTCCAAGTTATCTTCTGGCGCCCTTGCTGCTGCTTGACACTGTAGCTGGGCTCTCATTATGTGGCTTTTGAGACGTCTCAAAAGTTGCTGGGCTGTCATTATGTGGTCGCACTCCCCAACTCCCTTACCATATATTTTCCCATGTCATTATGTCATTATGCCATGCCATGCGCCATGCCATGTCATTACGCCGTGTCATGCCTTGCCATGCCCCGCCTCGCCTTCAGGACGAGAGGGCGTTTGCCATGTTTGCAGACGTGTACCTCTCAGCCAACCTCACCCACACACCTGGATTCCGTTTCGCCAGCAACATCGACCCCATCATGTTCCGCCTCTTCACCGCGCCCTCCTCGCACCTCAACTCCCCCCATGCCCCTATTCCCCTGTTACCCATCCTCATGGCCCGTCATGCCCTGCCCCGCGCCACCTCCCCTTCAGGACGAGAGGGCCTTCAGTATGTTCTCCGATGTGTACCTGTCAGCCAACCTCACCCACACGCCCGGATTCCGCTTCGCCTCCAACATCGACCCCATCATGTTCCGCCTCTTCACCGCACCCTCCTCCCACCTCGCCACCCACACCCCCTACGCCGATGACGTCTCCTCGCCCCCTCCCCCCTTCTCTCGCCCTGCCGTGGCCGTCATTCCACTGCCGGCCAATACCACGAGATATTCTATGGCCCGAGATCCCACCTCCTCCTCCACCTCCACTTCCTCCTCCTCCTCCAACCCCCCCTCCCCTCCCTCCTTTGCCATCCTAACCATCCATTGGCTACCAGGCAGCCCACTCAGCCCGCCCTCTTCTCCTGTCTACACTGTTCAGATCGCCCCGTCCCTCCCTGCCACCCACCCACCTGAAACAATAATCAGCAGCACCGCACTGCCGGGCGGGGAACTTCTGTCTGCTTGTGAGGTGGAAAGAGAAAAGGGCGGTAGACCTAATGGCAAGGGGAAAGGGGAGACTCAAACTGAGCAGGTGGCATCTGAGCAGGTGGGGTCTGGGCGGGTGGCATCTGTAAGTGTGCTAGACCTGCCCCACGGCATGGAATTGGAGGTTGGAAATGGCACGTTCGGGGGAGGAGTGGGGGGAGGAAGAGATGGGGGCGGAGGTGGAGATGAGACGGGGGAGGGAAGGGGAAGCAGGGATAGGAGGAGGGTTGGTGTGGACGGGGTTGTGCTGGTAGCCAGTGACGCATGTGGCGGCCATATCCTCCTGTGGTTCGCTTATAACTCGCTAGCTCTCAGCCTTATATCGAGGATAGACCTTGCAGAACGCATGCCGCAGCAGGCTGGCAGTAGCAAGCAGCTTTCCTCAGTTGCCTGGAGCACTGTAGCGCTGGAAAGACCTGCTTCTAACGAGGATGGGGAGATGAGCGGTAAACACCAGCAGCAGCAGCAAGGGAAGAGCCCAAAGCATGGGGAGGATGAGGGGAGGGGAGTGGATGGGTCTGAAGTGGTGATGGTGGGGGTAGAGGCGTACATTCCAAGTGAGAATCACCTTTTCAATGACTCCACGGCAGCAAGTGGTGGAGATGGGCAGAGGGCGGACGAAGAAGCAAGCAGGCACAGCAAGGGTCGGAGGGAGAGGGGGAGCAGGGAGGTGCAATCATGTGGGCTTATGGGTCGGCTGCTCCTCTGCTCTCTGCCTCCCCTCCCTGCTCATCACGCTTCCAACTCCCCAGTGGATAATCACCACACCAGTGCTTTCAGCACCGCATGTGCGTCTGTTGGCCGTCCCTTCTGCGTCTCGCAGCTTTCGCCGTCGCCGTCCACGCCTCTCGCCGTAGCAGCCGTTCACAGCACCTTCAGCAACGCGCCAAGCACCGGCAATGGCAGTGCTAGCAGTGACAGTAGTAGTGGCAGCAGTGGCAGCAGAAACAGCAGCAGCAGCAGCGGCGGTGGCATCAGCAAGAGCAGCAGTGACAGAAATGGTGGAGGCAGCAGCAGCAGTGCAGGCAGCACAGACGTACGAATAGATGCAGTGGTGTCGTTCTCTCTTGCGGGCGCTCAAAGCAGTGCCACACGCGCAGGCAGTGGGGCAACACACACCCCGCATGGCGTGGAAGCAGGCCCTCTGGTGTTCGTGCACCACGTGCAGCTCTGCCTCCCCACGCTCTCCCTCCTGCACGCCACACAGCAGTTGGCCAAGCTGAGCAAGGAGGATGATAAGGCAGAGTCAGTGGCAGTGGCAGCGGGAGTGCGAGTGGGAGTGGAAGAAGCATCGCCAGAGGCAGTGGCAGTGGCAGTGGCAGAGGCAGACAGTGACCCCCCTGAGCCACCCTCTCGTTTCGAGGTGGTGGTTACCCCACCGCCTCATGCCAACCCCATGCCCTTTGCCCGGGGCTCCATGCCAGCTGTCGGCATGGCATTGGTTGCGGGGAAGCGGGTTGCGGGTGAGGAGAGGGAGAGGGGGAAGGAGAGGGAGGCAGGGGAAGCGCGCGTGCTGCTGTTGCACACGGACGCCTTCTGCTGGAATTCCTTCGCCCGCCACGACACGCCTCTCGGCTCCCCTCAGGTGCGTGGTTTTTGGGGGTAATGGTGGTGGTCAGGGGGGATTGGAGCATGATGGCATGGAGCATGATGGAATTGGGAGGAGAGGGAGGGGGAGGAGGGGGAAGCGTGCGTGCTGCTGTTGCACACAGATGCCTTCTGCTGGAACTCCTTTGCCCGCCACGACACCCCTCTCGGCTCCCCTCAGGTGCCATGTTTTGTTCTTCTCCTCACCCGTCCCCTTGGGTTCATGGCAGGCAGTCATACTCCCACCACTGCCATGCCAACCCTCCATCCCCATCCCCATCCATATTCAAACTCACATGCGCATCCCCATCCCTACCCCCACCCCCCACAGGTGTGTGACCTGCCACGCACCATATTCGGGGCGTCTCAACCAGGCATCCTGGCATACACCTACGGCCGCCTCTCCACCCTCCACTCCCGCCTCTCCGCCGCACACGCCTCCTCCATCTCCTCACCATCCACCACAACCACCAACTCACCGCCATCCAACGCCATGGTGGCATCAGCATGCGACAGCGCTCTCCTGCACGGCACGTACGATCAGGGCGTCGGGGCTCCCGCCGCCGCCCTGCTGCTGCTCCCCCGTGCCAGCACCCGCACCCACCACACAGGGGAGAGGACAGGAGCGGAGAGGGAGGAGGGAGAGGAGGAGCAGGGGGAGGAACGCAGGGAGGAGGGGAAGGAGGGGGAGGAGGAGGGGGGGGTGGTGGCAGTGGCAGTGGCGGTGCACAAGGGCCTGGCGAGAGGGGGCCTCAACAACTGTGGAGACCCCTTGCCTGCGCCGGGACTGGTGCTGGATGTGTGGGACATGCCGCCACTGCTGGACTGACAGCATGCCATGTGGGGCCCGCTGTCTACTCCAGGACTGGTGCTGGACATGTGGGACATGCCGCAAATGCTGGACTGACAACCACATGCCGCCACTGCTGGACTGACAACCACATGCCACCACCGCTGGACTGACAACCACATGCCACCACCGCTGGACTGACAACCACATGCCACCACCGCTGGACTGACAACCACATGCCACCACCGCTGACTGACAACCACATGCCAACACTGCTGGACTGACAACCACATGCCGTGTTGATGGGGCACTGGGATTCTGTGCTTCACCTCAGCTGGGCTGATGGCTGCTGGAGGGTCAGTCTGCGTGTCCTTCTCTACTTCTGACTGTCTTGCAGGCTGCACCAGAAGCTATATGCTTAGCCCAATGCACACACAGTATGGAATTGCGATATGATGCTGCAGGGGGGTAACGCGCGAGATGCGGGAGAGAGGACGGCGAGAAAATTACTCATTGTCGGACGGGGGAGAAAGCGAGGGGTGATACTGCACAGTAGCTTCCACGCTGCTTCTGTACCTTGTTTCTTGTCAGTCCCTGTCACCACCACCACCATCTGCATGTGTAGGTCCTCCTAACCTCCCATCATGTTAGCTGACTGGCTGGTTAAATGTTTGGCTAGTAGGCGGGTAGGCTGGCAGGCTGGTAGGCTGGCTGGCTTGTAAGATGTTTAGCTGGTAGGCTGGCTGGCTGGTCGGTTGGTGGCTATGGAATGACAACTGTGGGTGTAGACATGGATGGCGGCTCGGCCCACACAGCGAAAAGCCCGCAGAGCCTTCTTGTTCAGTCACAACACAAGTGGAGGAGAATGCAGTCATACGGTACAGCAACTGATTGGGTAGCTTCCATACTCATGCTGTACCCGGTAGCATGGCTGCCCGCAGTCACTGCTCTTGTTGCAGCAGCAGCATTGCGATTAAAAGTGTGTGTATGTACCCCTGACCATTCCTGTACAGCACGAAATGTGACTAATCGTTTTTTTCTTGTCAGTCCCTGCCATACCTGCTTGCGTGCGAGAAGGGTTTGCCTGACCCAGATCCGGTTTGTGGTGGCTTGCTCTGTAGGTATATGCATGCAAGCTGTATGCAGCGCAGGTGGGTGGGTGCCCTGCACCCGTGCTTTCTCCCCATCACGGTGCACTTGCCTCTCATCGCAGCTCCACCCCACACTCACTCTCTCTCCTGCTTGGCTGTTTGTGCCCAGGCGCCTTCCAGTCGGCCCACCCCACCCACCTGCTCTACAACATGCAGGCCCATCCAGCACAGCAACGGCGCAACACATTTAAGCACAGCACACCTAAGCACTGCTAAACACACCTAGACACACCCAACAGACTGCCTCTGCTGAGCACAGCAGCAGCCAGAGTCTTCTCCTTGCCTCCACATCACCAGAGCAGAGCCACGTTGAATTCTTCTGAGCTGTAAACGGGACATCAATGGGGAACGGATGAGAGGGGATGGAATACAAGGGGCAAAGAAACATTTGTAAATCATCGGGCGCATTTTCTGATTGAATCAAAGGTATGCAGAAGGTGCAAAGAAGTTTTGGAACGCCATTGTGGAGCAAGCAGGAAGTGAGAGGCGAACAGAACCCACACTTACCATACACTGCTGCTGCTCTCACTGCCTCCTGCACAGCTGTTGCCAGAGCCAAGGGATATGGAGAAGGAGAGAGGTGAGGGCGCCATAACAGCAGGATACTGAAGATGGAAAGAACGAGCAACATAAGGCAAGGATGAAGAGAGATGGTATGACTGGGAAGCTTAGAACAGAGCGCAGGTGATATTAAACAACCAACACCAAGAGGACACCCCGAAGCAGTAGAATAAGCTGTACTCACTCCTCGAGTGCTGGAGGTGAGGGGAGGAAGGATGGCAAGGACGAGGAAGAGAGGCGTGAGCAAGGAGAGGAGAGGCGAGTGGATGAGGGGCTGAGGATGTGAAAGAGCACCGACAAGCCAGAAGAGATGGCAGATGGCAGCTGGAGAAGGGACTGAGACAAGGCGCAATGGAGGATGCGCTCACCTGCTGCTGCATCATCACTCTTGTGTTGCAGAAGGAACAGAAATGTTGTCTCCATCCCACCGATGCACAATGCACTCCACGGCTTGGAGCCTAAGAGACACACTCACAGGCACGCACACGCACACGCAAACAAGGACAGGAGCCGCCCCCCCACCCCATCCCCTCCTCTACCCCTCCCAACCCCCTCCTTCCACCCCTTCCCCCCCCCCCCCCCGTTCTCACAATCATGGGAAGACAAAACACAGACACAGAAGGGAGGGTTAGGAGAAACAGGAGAAGAGGCGAGTGGCAGAGACAAGAACAGCAGGCACGACACTTGCCTCTGCGCGGCGACACCCTACGACTCACTTCACGGCCCCCCTGCAAGCACCCCCTGGCACATACCATGATCTGTCCGCTGCTCTCCCAGTGTTGCGCCACGCCTTCACTTCAGGCGTCCACGTGCTGCCATTGCTCTCCGACTCGCAGGCCACGAGGCACACACACACACACACGGGGAGAGAGAGGCACACACACACATGGGGAGAGAGACACACACACATGGGGAGAGAGAGAGACACACACACGGGGAGAGAGAGACACACACATGGGGAGAGAAACACACACACATGGGGAGGGAGAGACACACAGAAGCAGCGCAGAAAAAAAGGGTTAGAAGCAGCAGGTGGCGATTGGCGGACCGGCAAGCAACAGACACGACTCTTGCCTCTGCGCGGCGACGCCCTACGACTCCCTTCACTGCCCCCCTGCAAGCACCCACTAAGACGCACCATGCTCCCTTCGCTGCTCCCCCATTCCTGCGCCACGCCTTCACTTGAGGCGTGCTGCTCCAGGTGTACTGGTTGATCTAACAGTCTCACAACTCCTTGTGTGCTGGCCTGGCCATCATCCTGGCCATGGAGTGGGGAGCGAGGCGAGGGGATCATGATAGTTGCATACAGCAAGACAAGAGAAGGAGCCAAGCCACATAGACAAGGGTGAAGGGAGACGGGTAAGCTCTACGACACCTGACAAGAGCATGGGCGGCATTGAACAACCAACAAATAGAGGGAACTTGGTTGCGATAGGATAAGCTGCACTTACCCCTCCTTTTCTGCTGCAGCCGCCACTGCAGCTGCCATTGACGTTGCAACTGACGCTGCCACCACTGGCGCCGCTGCCCATGCGGCTGGTTCTGGACAACGGGTGCGGCACTTGGCTATGTCTCACTCCTCCACTGCTGCTGCTGCCACCAGTGCTGCTGCTGCCAACGGCGCGCGCTCTGGATAAAAGCTGCTGATCAATGGGCAGAGAGTTGCGAAAAGCAGACAACAGCAAAGATATGTGGTAGACACGACCGAACTAAACACGAGAACGTAAGAAGACGGTGAATGGAGAAGCGGTGTACTGGTTGATCTGATGGACTCACAACTCCTTGTATGCTCGCCATCACCCTGCAGGTTCTGCAGCCACTGGTGATCCGTTGCTGCAGCCACTGGTGATCACTGCCCCTAGAGTGCTGGAGCCTGGAGGTGAGGGGAGGAGGGAAGGCAAGGAAGAGGAAGCGAGGCCTGAGCAAGAAGAGACAAGTGAGTGGATGAGAGGCCGAGAAGAAGCGAGTGGATGAGATGGCAGACGGAAGCTGGAGAAGGGATTGAGATAGAATGCCATGCATGGTGCATGTGCATCTGAACTCCCGGTTACCTCTTGACTTGAAGAAACTTAGCAGGAAAATAGGCGCCGTTTCTCCTTGCTAATTGGTTGCCTCTGGTCCATTCCCCGTCCGCTCCCTCCCTCTCCGTCCGTCTCGCAGGCCGTGAGGCACACACACACATGAGGAGAGAGACAGCCACACAGAAGCAATGCAACAAGGGAGGGTTAGAAGCAGTAGGAGAGGAGGCGAGTGGTGGAGGCAAAAGCAACAGACACGACTCTTGCCTCTGCGCGGCGACGCCTACGACTGACTTCACGCCCCCCCTGCAAGCACCCCCTGGCAAGTACCACTTCTCCTCCTTGGCATATCCTGCCGCTCCTGCGCCACACATTCGCCCCAAGCAGCACCTGCTGCGGCCCGTGCTCCAGAATTCAGACGTTGCTGCTCCAGGTTGCTGGTTGTCTGCTTCTGATAAGAAGTCCCTCCCATCTCCCATCTCACAGGACATGAGACACACGCACGCAAAGGGAGAGACGCACGCACACAGAAGTGGAACAAGGGAGGGTTAGAAGCAGCAGGAGAGGAGGCGAGTGGCGGAGGCAAACGCAAGAGACACGACTCTTGCCTCTGCGCGGCGACTCACTTCACGGTTCCCCTACAAGCACCCCTCCGTGCACGTACCACACTCCGTCCGGCACTCTTCCCACTGCTGCGCCATGCCTACACATCAGGCGTGCTCCTCCTTGCTGTCTCTAGTGCGAGCCAGCAGCAGCCGCCGCGTCGATTCCCCATCCACTACCTGCCATTCCCGTACGTCTCGCAGGACGTGAGGCACACACACACATGGGGAGAGAGAAACACACAGAGAAGAGGCGCGACAAGGGAGGGTTAGAAGCAGCAGGAAAGGAGGCCAGTGGCGGAGGCAAGAGCAATAAACACGACTCTTGCCTCTGCGCGGCGACTCCCTACGACTGACTTCACGGCCCCCCTACAAGCACCCCCTGGCACATACCACTTCTCCTCCTTAGCAGAGGCTGCCACTCTTGTGCCACACATTCGACCCAAGCAGCACCTGCTGCGGCCCGTGCTTCAGGTGCCAGGCGTGCTGCTCCAGCTTGCCTGCAATGAGAAGGGACATGAGGCACACACACACGAGGGGAGAGAGGCACGCAGACAGAAGCAACGAAATAAGGGAGGGTTAGAAGCAGTAGGAAACGAGGCGAATGGTGGAGGAAAGGGCAAGGACTCTTGCCTCTGCGCGGCGACGCCCTACGACTCACTTCACGGCCCCCCTACCAGCACCCCCTGGCACGTACCGTGCTAAGTCCGCCGCTGTCCCACTCCTGCGCCACGCCTTCACTTCACGCGTGCTGCTTCGGGATGACTCTCGAGCGAGGCAGCAACGGAAGTCCCGTCCGTTCCGCACCCACTCCATGCCGTTCCGCGCCCACTCCATGCCATTCCGCGCCCACTCCATGCCATTCCGCGCCCACTCCATGCCATTCCGCGCCCACTCCATGCCATTCCGCGCCCACTCCATGCCGTTCCGCGCCCACTCCATGCCATTCCGCGCCCACTCCATGCCATTCCGCGCCCACTCCATGCCATTCCGCGTCTACGCTGTGCCATTCCCCTCCACCTCGGAGGCCGTGAGGCACACACACGCATGGGGAGAGAGAGACAGCCAAACAGAAGCAGCGAAACAAGGGAGAGTTAGATGCAGCAGGAAGCGAGTGGCGGAGCAGCAAGCAACAGACACGACTCTTGCCTCTGCGCGGCGACGCCTACGACTCACTTCACTGCCCCCCTGCAAGCAACCCCTGGCACGTACCGCGCTCCGTCCGCCGCTCTCCCACTGTTGCGCCACGCCTTCACTTGAGGCGTGCTGCTGCAGATTGTCTCTCGTGCGAGCCAGCAACGGCAGCCCTGTCCATTCCCCGTCCACTACCTGCCATTCCCATCCGTCTCGCAGGCCGTGAGACACACACACGCACGGGAAGAGGGACACGCACACAGAAGCGGTGCAACGAGGAAGGGTAAGAAGCAGCAGGAGGCGAGTGGTGGAGGCAAGGGCAACAGACACGACTCTTGCCTCTGCGCGGCGACGCCCTACGACTCACTTCATTGCCCCCCTGCAAGCACCCCCTGGCACGTACCGCGCTCCGTCCGCCGCTCTGCCTCTCTGCCGCTCCGTCACTTGAGGCGTGGTGCCCCTGGTTGCTCGGTTGCTGCTGCTGCTGCAGTCTTTACTCTCGTTGCGATCGCCACCGCGTCGTTGCCTTTGACCTGCTCCTGAAACACACTGATGTTGCACAATGATGGATCGCTCCGCCACTCACGCGCGGGCCTGGAGGAGACCATGAGGCAGACGCAAGCAGACACACGCGTGCATGCAATAAACAGAAACAGAGACAAGAAGAAATAGTTGGTTAGTTCGCTGGGAAGTAGGGGGAGACTAGCGCAAGGGATGTCAGACTGAAACTCTGCGCCCTTAATCCCCTGATTTCTGCTCACCCCCGATGAAAGCTCTTCCCATCGCACTTACAAGGTCAAGGCCGGTCTGCAACTTCGTGTGATGGCGGAAAATGCAGCGACGGTATTTTAACGGGGGAGTTCACAAGCTCCGTCGCTTTGACGACGGATTCAGCAGCTCCGTCGCTTGCAGAAACGGCAGCTCCGTCGCTTTGACGGCAGAAACAGCAGCTCCGTCGCTTTGACGGCGGAAACAGCAGCGACGTCGATCTATCGCGGAAATAGCAGCGACCTAGACTTGACGACGAAAACATCAGCGCCGTTGCTGGTAAGCTTCGTAGCCAAGAGCAGCTAAGACGTTGCTTTTCCGGCGGAACAAGCAGCTAAGCTTCGGCGGGTACAGCAGCGACAACTTTGCATTATTGGCGGAAATAGAGGCTACGTCGCGTTGATGATGAAAACAGCAGCGACGCTGCATTCACGGCGGAAGCAGAGGCTACGACGCTGGAAGCAGCGGCGGCGTTGCCTTGGCGAGGAGACCTCGCTTGACGGCTTGCTATCCGTCTCAACTGGGATCGCCGTCCTGCTATCCTTCTTAACTGGAACGCCGTCCTGCTATCCTTCTCAACTGGAACGCCGTCTAGACTAGCATGTTAACGTCATATCCGCGGGATCATATCCAGTTGAACTGACGTACGATACCTTCTTAACTTGGAATCCCAATCCGCCACGACTTGACAACGTCCTCACTACATTTGGCTAAAGTGTCATTCATATGATTATCGAGTGCCAGACGAAGTCGCGGCAAATATAACTATGATTTGACCTCAAGTGCAGCCATGCGAGTGAACTAGGGGCTAGTGCGACCAGCAGCTGACAATGCTGGAGAGGGAGCCAGATCGGAGATAAGAAAACGGCAGGCCTGAAAGATAGTGCAAGTGGAGCGAAGGAAGCGACAAGTGGAGGCAAGTAGAACATTTGGTTGATTCCGCCGAGGAGAAACCAAGGAGCTGCCTCATCCCGCTCTCAAGTAACCCCACGAGACTCCGAAGTGAAAGAAGAAACCAAGGGAACTCCCACCGTCATGGCGGCTGAATTCCGCCAACTTCCATCCCAAGCCAAGCATGGTACCTCACAGGAGGCTCGAAGCGATGAGGTTCGGATCACCAGGGAGAGGCGGGGATTGGCTGACAAAGGCCCTGGCAAGTTCCGTCAGAGCGAACATTTGAAAGTTTTGGAGGGAAACAGAAACCTCCGTGCAAGGTCGGACGAGGTCGTGGATAATGTGAAGTTGCGATAAAAAGTCTACCGAACAAGTGTACATTCTGGGATTTAGCTACAGTCTGTACATTACTGTTGCAACCACATGTAAAGCTAATACCCCTCCTGGAGTACAAACCTTGGCCTGAAGCTAATTTTCAGCTATTGTGCAAACGTCAACATTCTCAGGGCCCCTTTGAGATATTGATGGACTGAATCATGCACATGTGACACCTGGTTCTAAGTAGTAGGGTGGGGGCTTCATTGTGCGACTTGAAAAGCAACCACAATACACCACCAGAATAAACAAGATCTACTATATGAAACAAAACATGCATGTCATGCGGCAATGCAAAGCAGCCAAGCACGGGTCACAGAAGTGGTTTGGCCTCGGGGTCAAGGTCGTCTTTATCATCCTTGGAGCCCCCTGAAGGCATGGTGCCCAGCCCTATGTGCCCCTTGAGGGCTGCCGGGTTCTTGGAAGGAGTGGCTCCTGTGAGGGAGTGCAGGGGCGCAGGATGAGAAAAGAGTGATAATCAGGGGGCATACAGGGAGAAGAGAAGAAGAAAAAACAGCGGTGGTGCACTATAGTGAGGGACGTGGGGAAGAGAGAGCACACGGGAGAGAAGGGGGAGGGAGAGCAAGTACGAGCAGAGGGGTCCAAGAGGTGCAGGCGGGGGGAGTCTCCAGCAAAGTCCTTGGTGGCGTGGAGCAGGTAGGTGCCGATGAGGATGGTGAGGAAGAGAGGGCACACGGGAGTAGAGGGGAAGCAAGAGCACGTACGAGCGGAGGGGATGGGAAAGCATGTACAGGCAGAGGGAAAGAGAGAACTTACGGGCTGAGGGGTCGAAGAGGTGCAGGCGGGAGGAATCACCAGCAAAGTCCTTGGTGGCGTGGAGCAGGTAGGTGCCGATGAGGATGGTGAGGAAGCCGCAGAACTCCATGAGCACCTGCTCCCCCGTCTGCCCCGCCCAGTCCTTGTACATTATCACCGAGGCCACTATGGTGAGCGTGGTGAACATGACGTAGTAGATGGGCGTCACCACTGCCGTGTTGAACGTGTCTAGTGACTGGGATGGGGAGAGAGCGAGAGGAAGGGAGAGATATGAGAGGCAAAGGCCTGAAGCATCCAACGAAGGTGAGTGTGGTGTGGTGAACATGACATAGTAGATGGGTGTCACCACTGCCGTGTTGAACGTGTCTAGCGACTGGGAAGGAAGCAGTTGAATGGGAATGAGGAGTGGGAGAAAGAAAGGGGGGGATGACGATTAAGGACCTGAAGCATCTCACGAGGGTGAGGGTGGTGATGATGACATAGCAGTTGGGCATCTTACTATGACATCTCCAGCACGTGTGTCGTGTCGGGCACTGTACAGTAACAACCAGGTAATATTGCTGAACGTGCAGTCAGCGCCCACTCAGCATGCACTCAACACGAACTCAGAGCGCACACACCTTGTTGAGGTAGCTCTGCTCTCTTGTTATAAATCAACCGGCACGCACCTTGTTGAGGTAGTTGATTTGTGTGACGGCACAGGCGGCAAGGGCGACGGCAAAGAAGGTGGTTTCGGGGTAAAAGAGCTGGTTGTCACCGTACAGGGTCAGCTTCACGGCAATCCCTAGGGCCTTGCAGCTCGCCACCTGGCGGCACACGCAGGGACATGGGCAGGGGACACACCGCAGTGGCGACAAACATGGCATAAGATGCTGACAAAGAGTGATTGACAAAAGACATGCTGCTCATGCTGCCATATCCTGTGAAGGAAGGACAGAGGAAAGAGAGCCGCAAAGCACGGAGGAAAGAGCACGTCAAGAGAGCGCACTCACGGAGATGGATCACTCACGGAGATGGATCCGAGCAGCGAGCAGATGGCGAGGTACACGAGGACGTTGGTACACGGGGGAGACGGGGGACGGGGGACAGGGGACGAGGGACGGGGGACAGGGGACGGGGGACAGGCGAGGTGCACTCACGGAGATGGATCCGAGCAGGGAGCAGATGGCGAGGTAGACGAGGACGTTGGTGGAGCCGTAGCGCGGCGCCAACACAAAGACGAGGAACACACTCATCGCCAGCGCCGTCACTGAATAGCTCACAAAGGCTGTGCAGGGAGGGCATGGGGGAGGGCGTGGGGGAGGGCGTGGGGGAGGGCGTGGGGGAGGGCGTGGGTTAGGGCGTGGAAGGGAGGGAGAGAAACGGAACGTCAAGGAGGAGGCAATTGGACGAGGCAGGCGGCAGAGGAGGCAAGCACTAGTGTGGCTCAGTGGCGAGCAATCCTACCTGGTTCCGCGATGCTGAGTGGTCCCACCTGGCTCAGTGGCGAGCGCCCAGAGCTGCTTGACGTTGTCAATCTCCATCTCCTGCGGGGCGTGCAGCACGATGGCGATTGATCCCACCACACACAGCGTCGCCCCCAGCCACCCCAGCACATGCAGCTTCTCATCCAGCAAAATGTGCGCTAGTATGGCACTGCAGAAGGGGCGTGGAGGTGGGAAGGAGGTGACGGAGAGCAAGGGAGGGCTATTGAGGTGCGCCAACAGCCAGCCAGCCAACAGGAGGTGCACCTGATGATGATGCTGAGCGCACCTGATGATGATGCTGAGCGCGCCCAGTGGTGTGACGAGGATGGCTGGGGCAAAGGCGTACGCTGCAAAGTTGGCAAACTCTCCCAACACCACTGGCGGATAGGGGGGCATGGGCGCAAAGGGGCATGGGCGTAAAGGGGATGGATAGTCGCATTGGCACATGGGTGGTCGCATAGGCACAGAATCACTTGGATGTACAGTCACATGGTCCCATGGAAGCGCATGGGGGGAAACGGAGCCAGAAGGAAGTGGAAGGGTCAAGAGGGCGGGTAAATGAGTGAAAGGCAAAGGATGGAGGGAGGGGCTAAGTCACAGGAGGGAGGATGAGGGGCTCAGCTAAGACACAGGCGGGGGATGAAGATTGAGGGTGAGGATAGGAAGTTACGAGGGAGCGCGAACAGGGAAGCTGTCAGTTTGAGGCGAAGCCGTGCATGCAAGGGGGAGTGGAATGGCGTGGATGGGCTGGCATGCGAGGGGTGCACGCGAGGGACGCACGCGAGGGGCGCACGCGAGGGGTGCACGCGAGGGGTGCACGCGAGGGGCGCACGCGAGGGTTGCACGCGAGGGGTGCACGCGAGGTGTGCACGCGAGGGGTGCACGCGAGGGGTGCACGCGAGCGGCGCACGCGAGGGGCGCACGCGACGGGTGCATGCGGGGGGTGCACGCGAGGGGTGCACGCGAGGGGTGCACGCGAGGGGTGCATGCGAGGGGTGCACGCGAGCGGCGCACGCGAGGGTTGCACGAGAGGGGTGCATGCGAGGTGTGCACGCGAGGGGTGCACGCAAGGGGTGCACGCGAGCGGCGCACGCGAGGGTTGCACGCGAGGGGTGCATGCGAGGTGTGCACGCGAGGGGTGCACGCGAGGGGTGCACGCGAGGGGCGCACGCGAGGGGTGCATGCGAGGGGTGCACGCGAGGGGTGCACGCGAGGGGCGCACGCGAGGGGCGCGAGGGGTGCACGCGAGGGGTGCACGCGAGGGGTGCGAGGGGTGCACGCGAGGGGTGCACGCGAGGGGTGCACGCGAGGGGTGCACGCGAGGGGTGCACGCGAGGGGTGCACGCGAGGGATGCACGCGAGGGGTGCACGCGAGGGGTGCACGCGAGGGGCGCACGCGAGGGGCGCACGCGAGGTGTGCACGCGAGGGGTGCACGCGAGGGGTGCATGCGAGGGGTGCACGCGAGGGGTGCACGCGAGGGGTGCACGCGAGGGGTGCACGCGAGGGGTGCACGCGAGGGGTGCACGCGAGCGCACGCGAAGGGCGCACGCGAGGGGTGCACGCGAGGGGCGCACGCGAGGGGCGCACGCGAGGGGTGCACGCGAGGGGTGCATGCGAGGTGTGCACGCGAGGGGTGCATGCGAGGGGTGCACGCGAGGGGTGCACGCGAGGGGCGCATGTGACGGGTGCAAGCGAGGGGTGCACGCGAGGGGCGCACGCGAGGGGTGCACGCGAGGGGCGCAGCGAGGGGCGCACGCGAGGGGTACATGCGAGGGGTGCACGCGAGGGGTGCATGCGAGGGGTGCATGCGAGGGGTGCACGCGAGGGGTGCACGCGAGGGGTGCATGCGAGTGGTGCATGCGAGGGGTGCACGCGAGGGGTGCACGCGAGGGGCGCACGCGAGGGGTGCACGCGAGGGGTGCACGCGAGGGGTGCACGCGAGGGGTGCATGCGAGGGGTGCACGCGAGGGGTGCACGCGAGGGGTGCACGCGAGGGGTGCACGCGAGGGGTGCACGCGAGGGGCGCATGCGAGGGGTGCACGCGAGGTGTGCACGCGAGGGGTGCACGCGAGGGGTGCATGCGAGGGGTGCACGCGAGGGTGCAGGCGAGGGGCGCACGCGAGGGGTGCACGCGAGGGGTGCATGCGAGGGGTGCACGCGAGGGGTGCACGCGAGGGGCGCATGTGACGGGTGCAAGCGAGGGGTGCGCGCGAGGGGCGCACGCGAGGGGTGCACGCGAGGGGCGCAGCGAGGGGCGCACGCGAGGGGTACATGCGAGGGGTGCACGCGAGGGGTGCATGCGAGGGGTGCATGCGAGGGGTGCACGCGAGGGGTGCATGCGAGTGGTGCATGCGAGGGGTGCACGCGAGGGGTGCACGTGAGGGGTGCACGCGAGGGGTGCACGCGAGGGGTGCACGCGAGGGGTGCACGCGAGGGGTGCATGCGAGGGGTGCACGCGAGGGGTGCATGCGAGGGGTGCACGCGAGGGGTGCACGCGAGGGGCGCAGGCGAGGGGTGCAGGCGAGGGGTGCAGGCGAGGGGCGCATGCGAGGGGCATGTGAGGGATGATGGTGGGAAGCAGAGAGCAAGAGCGGTGGGAGGAGGTGGAATGGGGTGAGCGGCGACGGGGTTGTGAGAGGAGGCAGGGAACTCACTGGATATCATTCCGACCCACCACAATGGCTCCTTGAGGTATGAATGACCTCCCATGCCTGCACATGCATGCATGCATCACCAACCGTGCAGCCACCATCCATTCATGCATGGACCATCCATCCATGCAGGTACCATGCATCAATGGATGCACAATCTATCCATGCAGGCACCATTCATGCATGCATCATCCACTCATGCATGCACCATCCATTCATGCATGCATCATCCACTCATGCATGCACCATCCATTCATGCATGCACCATCTATTCATGCATGCACCATCCATTCATGCATGCACCATGCATCAATGCATGCACAATCTATCCATGCAGGCACCATTCATGCATGCATCATCCACTCATGCATGCACCATCCATTCATGCATGCATCATCCATTCATGCATGCACCATCTATTCATGCATGCACCATCCATTCATGCATGCACCATGCATCAATGCATGCACCAACCATTCATGCATGCACCATCCATTCATGCATGCATCATCCATTCATGCAGGCACCATGAGTTTATGCATGCACCATCCATCCATCCATGCACGCACCATCCATCCATCCATGCATGCACCATCCATCCATACATGCAGGCACCCATGCATCCATACATCACGTGCGTCAGCGCATGCTCTCAAAAGCTGTACACAGCCAACACTTCAGCAATCAAGTCAGCAATGTGTTGGCCATCAGGCGGTATGGCCTCAGATCAGGCAACGACCTGCTCTTCTAGCCACATGCGCTAATCCTCACCGCCTCTCACACCCACCAGCTCCATCAACCACCACCCGTCCCACCGACCACCCGTCCCACCGACCACCCGTCCCACCGACCACCCGTCCCACCGACCACCCGTCCCACCCACCACCCGTCCCACCGACCACCCGTCCCACCCACCGCTCGTCCCCTCCCACCCGGCGGCCGTCCCACGCACCGGCTCTGATGCCCGAGACGGCGGACATGCGGAGGGCCTTCTTCTTGACAATGAAGCTGCCGCCGATGAACACGCTCGACGCCACCGCCAGCACCAGGCCCTTAGTGCGATCGTCCATCGCACCGGCCTCTACTACCCCCGCCTCTACTGCCTCGATCGACCGCCTCTGACCCCCCTGCGAACCCTGACCAGCACGCGCTAGCCTCGGCGACACAACACGTCTTCAGCCTCGGAGTCGCTACACCAATTCCCTCTATCCTCCGTTATTCTCCTCTAGTCTCTGCAAATTCTAAAAGATTCCGCCTGATTCGGCTTCCCCACCCAAACCTAGGCTTTTTGCTCAACTTAAGAGTGTGATTTTGCAGTAGCTGGAGTTTCGATCGCATCAAGTGCCGTTTTCGCAGTCAATTGTGTCTGAACGGAGCCGAGTGTGTAATCGTGATCAATCGGAGTCGAGGGCCTACTTCGCAGAAATTGCGGTGCAATCGTCACGGTTGGCGACTTTCGCGAGAGCTCAGAGCCCTGTCAGCCTGGGCGGCAGCGACATACCGAGACATTGCGGACTACTACCACTAATTCCCAGAGCAGGCTCAATAGAGAGGAGTCCAGCAGGGAGGGGATGTCACCAGCAGCTGCAACTACCGAGGACCGCGTGATCGTACGCGAATTCTTTGCCAGACAAGTTCTCTACAATCCCGAGGATCGGTAAAACCGAGGCGTGAAGTCACCTTGAAAACAGCTACAAAAGCTAATGAAGGGAAAACGGAACAACGGCCCAAAGCAACCTTGGGAGCAGCGATGCCTGGGTAGTGAGGGCCAGCACAGTACTGACGACTTGAGTTGGGCACCATCCAGCGTTACTGTGCCGTACGAAGAGACGTCAGCATTTCGCGAATCTTGGTTGCTCACCGCAAACACTTCGCTGACAGGGGGTATTGAGCAGCAGCAGTCTGCAATGCTCGCTGGGTGTGAGACGTGGCACATGGAATGAAAGGTTGCGACGGACTTGTTCGAACGTCAACCACACTGCACCACTGCAGCTTTCGGTGAGTTTCAGCCTGTCCAAATCTGGAAAATTGTCAGCATCTAGTCTAGAGGATCCAGCGTGAAAATGGTACCACATCGAAATAAAACCCAATTGCATCACTACACCAAAACGCAGCCTGTTAAAGCTGCAAAAATTGTTCCAATATATACCAGATTAATCAAGCCAAAAAAGAACTTCTACAAAGGGTATACCACAAAGCATTGTGCATGTGGTGTCAGCCAAGGCAAGATCCTACTAGAAGTCCCTCTAAGGCTGTCATGGAGAATGTCAATTTCTCTGCGGAGGGCTGCAAGCCCAAAAATGCAAATGGAGTTAGCAGCAGACTGCGACTTACAGCAGCTGAAGCAGTCCCCCTGACCTCTCCTCTTTCTGCTGCTGCTGTTGCTGTTGCTGCTGCTGCTGTTGCTGCTGCTGCTGCTGCTGCTGCTGCTGGTGTTCCTGCTGCTGCTGCTCCTGTTGCTCCTGCTGCTGCTGTTGCAGTTGCCGCTTGCTGCTCCTGCTATCATCTGAAGCAGCAGCGGAGCATGCAGCAAGAGGAGGCGGTCCGTCCAGCACCTCTGCAGCACTTGGGGAGCCCATGGATTCCCACTCACCACCCACTCCCACACCTGCATCACAGACGAAAATAAGGAAGATAGGGCGTCAGCTAACCAGTCCACCACAGAAAAAGTATGTGGAGGGTGCCTGCCTAGGGCACTGAGGCACTACAAATGTGCAAGTGACCACAATCCCATGGGATCATGAAATGTCAGACAAAAAGCTGCAGATGTTACCAGCGAATGCAACGCAACTAGAATTGAGATTGAAACGAAGGGAAGTGGCGGCTCACAGAAGGCGGAAGGAAACGAAGAAGGGGGCAAATCGCAAGCGCACTAGCAGAAGGGGGTGGTGGTGGGAACCGCACCCGGCGCAAAATCCGTGCGGGGGACGGAAACGCCCGCTCCGCGCGGCACAAATCGCGCAGCCGCGGAGATCGGCGAGTGCACCAGCTTCGGCCGCCGCGCAACCGGAGCAACCAGCGGCGGGCTTCCGCAGGGGCTCGTCTCCTCAGGACTGCGACTCGTTTTCGTCCCGCTCGTTCCGCTCGTGACGGGCGACAGGCACCCCGACGGGCTCTGCGCCTGGCACACTGTCGATCCGGACAGTCGCGCCGGTGCGAGCAGGCCGGATTTCGCAAACGTCTGCGGTTGGAACGCCGCGGGGATGGGGATCGCGAACGCGCTAGTTCCCGCGGAGGCCTCCCACATGCCCCCCACTGGAGTCGGGCCGTTCAGCATCGCTGCGCCGCCTCCGCCCCCTGCCCCAGCGCCTATTCCCCCGTAACTCGCCGCCCAAGCGCCTCCGCCGAACCCCATGTGCGCGGGGGCTTTGGCGGAAAGCCCCGCACCACCAGGTCCGCCGGCACCCGGGGAAGCTGCGCCTCTGCCCGTGAGTCGCGCTCCCGCGCACGACCCGGCGGAGCGGGGATCCGCGGCGGTGGTGGTCGGGGGACAGAACGCCCGCGCGCCGAGCGCGGGGGATACTCCCGCGCAGTTGGCTTGCTCTTGAGCTTGCGCGACATCTTGTTCCGCCTGCTGCTGCTGCTGTTGCTGTTGCTGCTGGTCCTGAGATTGCTGCGCGTTCGCATCTTGCTGCTGTTGATGTTGCTGCTGTTGCGCCGATTGCGCCGCCGCATGCGCATGCGCGTGCGCGGGCTGCGCGTAATGCTGCTGGTACAGCGCCCGTTGATACGCCGCCGCTGCCGCCGCCGCCGCCTCAGCCGCTGATCCCCCGGGCTGGCCCGCCGCCATGTACGGAGACTGACCCATGCCTGCCACCTGGCCGCACACCATTGGCTGCATCCCGGCCATCGCCATTCCGTGCATCATCCCCGGCGCAGGCGGCGCGACCGCAGCGCCGATCATCCCGGGGGCCAATCCGGGCGCAGTGGCCCCGGGGACGGCGGAAAGACCCGGAAAAGGCGGCGGGCCCGGCGCGGCGGAAGGCCAGTACGCCATGGCGGCGGCGGGCTGCATCATATCCATGGCTGCGGCCGTCGCCGCTGCCGCCGACCCCATCGCGACGTTCCCCATGGTCTGCTGGTACATGGCCGCGCTAGCCGGTTGGTACATCGACTGGGCCGCGTACATGTGCTGTAGATGCATCATCTGCTGCTGCTGCTGTTGCTGCTGCATGTGCTGTTGCTGCTGTTGTTGTTGCTGCTGCTGTTGCTGTTGTTGCTGCTGCTGCTGCTGTTGCAAGTGCTGTACGTGTCCCGGGTGCATTCCGAACGGTACCATCGACGATGCCGCGGACGCCGCCGTCGCGCCCGGGAGCGCCGGAAGCGGCGACGCGGAGATCCCAAGGCGGTGGTTCGCCAACCCTGGGGCGCCAGCGACGGGGAGCGGAGGGGACGACGCGCCTGCGCCGGCGACGGCGGTGGTTCCGGACGTCGTACCGGACGTGGCGGGCGCGGACGCGGGGGTGGGGACCATCACGACGGACCCAGACGACGGCAGCGTCACTCCCGCGGAAGGCAGCGCGGAGGATTGCGGAGGCGCTGCTGCAGCGACTGCTGCGCCGGCTGTTACGCTTCCTGGCGCGGCGCCATTAGCGCCGGCGCTGGCGTTGGGGTGGATGGAGCCGCCTCGGAGAATGGTATCGACGGCGGACTCGCAGAGGTGCCATTGGCCCGTCCAGAGCAGCCCCGCGCATCCGAAGACCGGGTTGATGGTTCGCCCGCACGCCTCGAAGAGCAGCGACTGGAATAGCGCTGCCGAGCGGAGCGGCGGAGAGGCGGAGATGGGGAATGGGGGAATGACAGGCACAATGAAGGTTTTCGTGATGATTCTGAACGAGAACGCGAGACGCTGGGTAAAGATGAGACCTTGGTGTGAAATCAGACCGCAATTAAGAAAATGCAGCGTGACCAGTTTGGAGTCTGGAGGAATTCAACACGAACAATTTAAGTCGGTGCGAGACGGAGAGCATGAGCAGGGGAGGCCGAAGCTACGTCGCTGGACTGAATCCAATCGCAGCGCCGGAATTCGCTGCTGCTTGGCACAAACGCGGGGAACAATGGGCCAATTGGGTACCTGGGCGTTGAGCCTCGTCGACGGCCGTGACGAAGCCCATGAGACCCGCGCGGCCGAAGAACTTGGCGAGGAACAGCGTCGCATGGCCCTGCGCCTCCGCGCCCTCGATTCCCCCCAAGCAATGGCGCAACACGCAGCTCTCGCTGCATCCCTTCCGCAAGACCCTACATCCGTTGCAACTCATTCTCTCCTTGCAGATCTAGATCGCACAAGCAGCGTACTCGTGTTAATCAGGCAATGTAATGATGTGAGGAATTAAAGGTTGTGGTTTCCCTTGGTTAATTGGTCATTCGAGGGTGAGGGTTTTGCGGAGGCCAATGCCAGCAGACGGCTGACCAATCCCAGTTACACTACGTCGCACAACGACAGGTGCGGAGCGGAACAGCAGCGGGTGCGGGAAGCAATCAAGCGTGAATGATCAAGAGAGCTTCTAATGATCAGCTACACGTTCATGAACAGGCCTCCAGTCTGGTTCTGCCCAAAGCAACCACCAACAAGCGCCGCCAAGGGGGTAACTTGGTTGGGGTGGGGTAGGGGGCCAACCCAACTCCTCTCACACGAGTGTCGATAGCGATGAGAGGAACTCGCGAGTAGAGGACGTGATTAGAGCGAACCGAGCGACCAACCAAAACAACACCATCGCCTCCATCCCCAGCGAGCCCCCCTTTGCTCACAGTTCTGGCAGGCAGGTACAGGCAGGCAGGCCTGGTCGGACTCGGATCTGCTTGGATGCCACAAGACGCGCGGCGAGGAGAATTGGAGAGGCGAGGGGGAGGAGTGCTGCTGTTGCTGCCCTCTGTGATTTTTCACGGGATGAGACAGCACCGCAACATGGCCGCTGAACAGTGGAAACATGACACGTTTCTGTCCAGTCACTTGCAGCGAATGTGACGCACTCGCACGCGTGATCACATCACCGTCTCCCGCACACTTGCGTCATCAAGAAATCTATACCGTCAGTTCTTGTTCGTTTGTGCGATAAGGCCTTATCCTGAACGTCAGAGACGACGTTGCTGACGTAGCAGTACCCTTTTCCTCCGTTGGATTTGGATGGGGAAGGATGACGAAGAGGGAGAAAACAGCGCTATGATTGGCTGAACAGCCTCAAGAAGATCGCCACTTTCGGCTCGCTTTCCGAGTGTTTGGCGAGGATTGCTCAGCTCATTCGCCCGGCGAAGGGCCTGTGTCCAATATTTCTGGAGAGTTCTGAGGTCCCCAAGCGGCGGAAGGCGGGAAAACACACTTGGCGGTTTCCGAACGCGTATCGTGGGTGGAATGGTTGATGTGGGCTGGCAACCGCCACACGCGCGCCTGAGCCAGGCTGTACAGCAGCCAGGTAGGATGAATGGCACGTCAGCTTCTCGGCTCAGTGCTCCTTGGAGGTTTGTTGTAGGTTTGGTGAACCAGACCTCAGGTACGGGAAATCCTCAGCCATTTCGAACTGGCTCCACCAGACACAAGGAGACATATCGAGGTGGATCTCGGAAAACAACAAACCTCCGCCAATTTCACACCTCCTCACACCTTTGGTGGGTGATTTGAAAGGGATGGGGGCTGAAACCCCCCTACGTGAGCGCACGTTATGCGGGATGAAACCCCCAAAGTGGATGTTTTGGAAAAATGTCGCTGAGCGAGTGGAAAGGATGGGGCTGCGAGCGGGAGGAAAAGGCTGACACCTCCAAATTCCTGTGGCAATAAGTGGGACTGATTTCAAGAGCACACCCTAAATTTTCACGCTGCCTCTTCATCACATTTCCACTGAATGTTGAGGACATCGTTCACAATTTCTCCTACCAATGATGATGTCAGTCTGGTTGGGCAAGCCAGCCCGGCATCCACCAGCTTCCACTTTCCAAACCAAGAAATGTTCACGCTTATGGGTTATCCGTCACTACATCCTTGTGCCAACTTCTCTAGGGTTCTCTACTGAATAATGTTAGCAGACTCTAGTTGCAATATGATAACAAAGGAACTGGTTTCACGTGGTTCAATTAGGGCGTGAATCATTGTATTGACCAGACAAAATGGTAGACCACAGACGGGAATTACATAGTACATACCGAGACTTGACCGAAAATCAATGGCACCGTAATCCCCCAGATAAAAGACTCCCCCACAGTAGTAAACCCCCCGGCATGCCCCTAAATTGCAGCATTTATACGCTGATTTTGCTCTTTTTTTTTTTCAAATATTTTTTACCTAGCTAGGTTGGTAAGGCAACCTTGTTGCCCCTTGTTTGTTGCCCACTGATTTTCCTGCATTTTTTTGTCAGAATCCCAACCACTAGACCATTGGGATAAAATGGCTTGTTTAGTAGCGGGTCAGTGCGCTCATAACCCCCCAGGACATTTTTCAGTGGTACACACGCTGATGGTACTTTCTTAAATCGAGCGGAACACTGGTTTTTCTCATAGATTTTTCATGTCCTCACATGAGATACCATAACAGTTTGGGCGCCATCGTTGTCAGATAAGTAGTCCAGCGCAGGTACGGTCACAGTAATATTCTGGGGAGATTGTACAATTTCAAAACGTTGTTTGGAAGATGCACGTCGTACCGTATGTTTGTAAAGATTCAAATGAAGCGCTAGGTGTTTCATACTGGCCCTTCACACTATAGCTTTTACTATTTTCAGCAATGGTGTGTACCTAGCCGTAAGCCTGTCAGCCATTACAGCAATCACCTTCCGACATGTCAATAGCAACTTCCCGCAGCAACTTCCCGCAAAAGTCATTGGCGGGGATGTATACAAGCCTCCCGTTAAAGTAGGTTCTTAGGTGAAGGAACTTTGGAGGGAGGATTAAGAATAGCTTGAGGACGATTGGTCAAAGAGGGGTTCACTATTGATTGGAGTACAAGATATAAGCAAGGAGAACGACATATGGTACACCACCTACAGCAAGTGAGATACACTACAGTCTATATATATTGTAACTGTCAAATTGTATTTGTTCTGTAGGCTGTATTGGGGCATACCCTAAAGGGTACAACACTTTAGGGTTAGGACTATACAATCCTGTACTGTCCTCATTCTAGTTCATTCTTACGTTCTGACATGGTTTTAGGGTAGGTCCCGGTTAGGACTGTTTTTTTTAGGGCCCACCGTCGTTTCCGCTCGATCCTGCCCGTAGCGCCCTAGCGCTTTCCTGCCCTGCCCGAGAGAGTCGCGCTGCCCTGCTGCCACGCGCTCTCCCCTGCCCTAGCGCGCTGCCTGCTGCACGCGCTGCTTGCCTTAGCGCGTCGCGCTGCTCTGCAAGCGCGCTGCCCGTGCTTAAAGCGCGCCCTGCCTGCTTGCTGCGCCTGCTGCTCACTCGCTGCCCCTGCCGCTAGCGCGCTCCATTTGCTGCCCGCGCGCTGCTCGCCCTGCTCGCGAACTGCCCGCGCGCTGCTGCGCCTGAGCCACTGCTGCCGCACGCGCTGCTGCGCTGTGCCCTGCCCCGCGCTGCTGCTGCTGCACGGCTCCTGCCCACCGCGCTGCTGCTGCTACGCTGCTGCGCCTGAGCTGCTGCTGCCGCTCGCACTGCGCTGCTGCTGCTGCTGCTGCTGCTGCTGCTGCGCATGAGCTGCTGCTGCTGCGCATGAGCTGCTGCTGCTGCTGCACGCGCTGCTGCACTGAGCCGCGCTGCGCCGCGCCGCCCTGCCCAAACCGCGCCGCGCCGCGCCGCCCTGCCCCAGCCACGCCGCCCTGCCCGAGCCGCGCCGCCCTGCCCGAGCCGCGCCGCCCTGCCCGAGCCGCGCCGCCCTGCCCGAGCCGCGCTGCCCTGCCCGAGCCGCGCTGCACTGCCCCTACAGAGCTGCACTGCGTTACTGCTGCTGCTGCTGCTGCTGCTCTTCCTGCTGCTACTGCTACTGCTGCTGCTACTGCTACTGCTGCTGCTACTGCTACTGGAGCTGCTGCTACTCCTGTTCTACTGCTATGGCGACCCCTACTGTTCTCACCTTTGACGGAGATGGTATACTTCGAATCCTGGTTAGAGGATCTCCACATGTACCTGCAGAGCCAGACTAGGGAGGATGTCTCGCTTTTTGAGCATACCTCTGGGACCCTAGCCGCCCCTGCTGCCACAGCTAATCGTGTAGACCAGTCCAGGTGGGCGTCTCGTGACGCTACTACTGCTCTTTCTGTCCGTAACCACCTTCCGCTAGACCAGCGCTCTCACTTTCGCTAGCTTAAGACGGCCAAGGCGCTTTACGACGCTGTTGTCACACGCTACTCGTCCCCGTCGTCTACCACTGTAGGCTGTCTAGCGCTGCCGTCCCTCTTTCCCGAGCTGTCGGATTTCTCCACTGTAGCCGACCTCATGACTCACCTGCGCTCCCTTGAGACTCGCTATGCTGCCGCCCTCGAGCCCACCTTTAGGGCTGAGAACAAGCCACCTATTTATCTCACCCTTTACTTTCTCATGACCCGCATCCCTGACTCCCTTCGTGCTGTACGCGACCACTTCCTCGCCCTAGACCCCACGAAGATCACCCTCGACACGTTCGAGTCGCGTCTCTTGGAGGCGGAGTCTACTGCCCTAGCTGTACCTGCCTCTCGTGGCACTCCCCACCCCTCTGTCTTTGAGTGGTGCTCCCCCTCCCTGCTCGCGTCGTCTGTTGCATCTGCTGCTGCTGTTGACCTCTTCGGTGCTGAGGAGGTCAGTGCTGCTTCTGCTCCTAGTGGGAAGCGCTGCAGCGGCAAGGGCAAGGGTGGCAAGGGTGGGGGTGGTGGGGGTGATGGGGGTGGAGGAGGCAGTGGTAGTGGCGGTGGAGGTGGTGGGGGAGGAGGAGGTGGAGGCGGCAAGGGAGGAGGCGGGGGTGGAGGGAGCAGTGGGGGTGGTGGCGGGGGTGGGGGTGGCACTAGGGGCGGAGCTGGAGGAGGAGGGGCTGGAGGTCCGACCACTAGTGGTGCAGCGGGGGGTGGAGGCAGCTCTGGGGGTGGCCAGCAGCAGCAGCCGAGCCGCCAGGCGCAGCTCTCGCCGCAGCAGCTTCGTGAGTGGGCGATCCGCCGTGGCAGCTCAGGTGGCCCACCTCGCTGCGGGTACGTCCAACGCACAGGTCAGCCTGGAGCGACCTGCTCTCGCACCGACCACACCGAGTCTCGCTGCTTTTTTCGCCTCGACGATCTGTATCGTGCGGAGCATGGTGAGCATATGAAGACTCCTCACTGGCTCGCTTTGCTAACTGGGCTGTGATCCATGC